AACCTTGCTCTCTTCCCCAAGTCCCCAGAGAGGACGGGAGTCGCAATAACGCTTTAACCTGTGAAATCGCTTCCTTTCCAGAGCACTAGCAAGCCCCGCTTGACTTGCTCTGTAATTAATAAACCTTTTCATTCATCTTATAATGCATTTCCCCAGCCAGGACCAGACAATACAGAATATTACTGGTTTGGAAAAGCATCTAAAAAATAAATGGGGGGAGGAGGACAGTGAGAGGAGGAAGGTAAAAAGCAACTGAAAAGGATATGAAGATCCTGAGAGCCAGGCATTCAGGCTAACATAACTTAAAAGGGTCCACCTATATATCACTGCAAATAGAGTTCTGACCAAAAAATAATAATTTTTTTTTTATATATATATATATTGCTATGTCATTCATTTCAGCTAAGAGGTTCCAGGTCCTGTGAGAGGTGGTCCTACGGGAAGCAGACGTCCCAGCTCACAGCAGATTAAGGCTTTTGCTTTCCCGCTTTGGAAGGGAAGGGTGCTGAAGCAAAGGGATCCGCGCCAGGCAGCTCTGTAGTCCTGGAAGACAGAGGGGCAACGGAGACAGATCCTGCTATCGCCTGTCTGTTGGTCTGAGAAACCACTTTGTAAGCAGCTATGGGCTTGACTTCCAGCCCCTGCCCATCTTCTGGACTGTAGTGACGGGAATATTTTGACAAGGATTGTGGACGGAAAGGCTTGTTAACGACGGAGCCCAGCACGGCTTCCTGGGGCAGCGCGTGTCCTCCTTGGTTTCTCTCGCCGGGCACGCCGCCCTGCTCTTGCGGCACGCCTTTAGAAGGGATGCTTTCCTGGGTCTCCACGGCTCTTACGGAAGAGGGATGCTGAGTAAACCCGGTAGAGGGATACTGAGATCTCGCCGAGGCCATGGACCCATGCATTGCTGGATCCAGGCTTGGGAACATCGGGTTAGCTCTGTGTGGGACATCGCCTCCTTGACTTAGGAAAACGGGTGGTGCGAACGGTTCCTTAGACACACTCTGGGAAGTCAACTCTTCCATGCTTTTCTTTTTAGTGAAAGGGGCTCTCAGAAATACATCCGCTTCTTCTGGATGTCTAAGAGCCACGTTGCCCTTGCAGATAAAAGGAGCTTTGGTAAAGACATCCACCTCATCAGGCACTTTTCTCGAGCTTCGAAAAGGAGCCGTGGCAAAAACATCCGGTTCGTTAAAAACCTCCCCGGTGTGCGACTGGAAGGCAGGAAACAGCATCTCCCCTGCTCTCGCCTGGGAGGAGTGGGAGTGGGGATCTTCTTTGGAGGCCTCACGTCTTTCCCTGGGCGCAGACTGCAGGAACCCCGTGCACAACTTGCAGGTTTCCTCCTCCTCTTCCGAATCCATCAGTAAAGGCCTGGAGCCGCTACAATCCAAAATATCTCCTTCGTGGTCCGTCCCCTCTCCTTCGCTACTGTAGAAGGAGCTGTTGCTTGAAGGACCGTCTCTCGTTAAGTAGTCTGACTCTGCGTTGCGCTGCGTTTTCACCTCCAGTATCTCAGACTGACCCTTGTACAAAGCGAGTCCATCGCTGCCAGAAGGTCCTTTACAGAGTTCAAGAGCTACCACTGGGAATAGGGACGGATCCCTCTGCAGACCTAAAAATGCAAGAGAAGAGTATTACTCAACCAGCTCCACCTCCTCAGTCATCAATAAGAATGAAAGGTACTCATTACACAAGAAACGTCATGCCGTTCTGATTTAAGCCACCATCACGCATGGAAAATGGAAAGGAGAGGGAGGGCAAATAAAAGAAAATAAAAATGCCAGGGAAAGAATTTACGACACACACAAACCGACACACAACTCGGCGCTGCCTCGCAGCTTGGGGACACCACAAGTACCAGTTTTCAGAAAGAGATGGAAGATGTTTGACACACAAATGGGCGCACCCAGCACTCTCTCAGCACCATTCCACAAGGTTTTCTCTGCCACCCACGACGACGACCACCACCACGCAGCAGAGAGGTTTTCACTTCGTAATGCTGCTGCCTGGAGTGAGGCCCCAGCAAACAGACAACTGTCATTTTGTTCTGCACCGTTGTTTATTGACTGCCCTATGAGCAGATATACAGCTTGGCATAGCCTCTGTTTTTGTGAGCCGTCCCACGGATACGTGGAATCACACTCGGGCATGTAAAATACGCAGGGATGCCCTACGGTCTGCTAAAATAACATACACATTTCAAAGAATGAAGGACAGCCTATAGCTTTTAACGAATCCTGGTAACGATAGCAGCATTATTTTAAGCTACTGCAAGACAAATTATTTTTAAACAATCCATACCATGACTTCAAATCATCCAACAGAACTATAACAATCTGGCTTGCTTCTGCGTTAGCATAACGAGACAGTGCGGGGAGAGGCTTGCTGTTCTGCTCTGCCCCGGGTACAAGAGCCCACGGTGGGGTTGGGTTTGCCTTACGACTCACACAGACAGAACAGAAGATATCTTACCTTCAAAGAACTATTGGCAGGTTGGGAGTATGTCATTGGACTCATGTTAGCAAGAGGATAGGAAAAAGGCACGTGAAAACTAAAGCAGTACGAGTTGCAGGCAGAAGGAGGAGGGTAAGGAGGTCGTTTGGTATCCACCGACCGATGGACAAGCGAGGTACGAACCAACCCACCCTGCTGTGACAAAACAGCATCGTCGCCTCCAAGCTCTGCCCAGGCGAATCATTCACATTCGCACACCCGTCGCAGCCCGCGAGGCACCGTTTCGTGACCAAGCCTGTGGACGTGTGCACTTAAGCCACTCTCAGCCACTTCTCACAATTAAAGACACGGTAGTCGTTCATTAGGCATCAAAATCGGCGTTTATTGGGAAACTGTTGACTTGGATACATTACACTGCTAAATAAAGACAGTGTAGATATGGGAACATTTGAAGTTACTCTACAAAAATACTCTCTCTCTTTCCTGAAGCCTGCGTTGTCAGCACTGGTTTAACCTCAGATGCTACTCTCAGATCACAGGAACAATACGTCTGCAGTGGTGGTTTCTTCCACGCGGCTGGTTACATATTTACCAGGTATTACGGTGAGATTTTGAGAGTACAGGCTGAAGCAGGGCAAGACCGGTTGCCACATCGTGCAAATGCCTCCGAATTACCCTGTCCTTACCGAAATACAGCGTACAGGGAAGCAGGAAAGGAAAAAGGCGTTTATCACGGTGAGCACTGCGCCAATGCACACCAGCGACCCACCTTGCACAACGACAGCGCAAACAAGTCATTGGATCAGAATTTTCTTTTTGAAGTGTTACTTGCGTTAGGAGGTGTCTGTGCAAGCGATGACTTTTAGGACGGAGTAAGAGAGTGGCTGACAGGATATAAACCCATTTGCTTAGGACAGGAGCAGCACGCGTCTCACGTTGGAGGCGCTGTATGACAGGCAGAGCACTCCATTTTTGGAAAAATGACTTTTTCTAATGCTTTCGTGCTCTCCCTGCCCGTCACAAGCGAGAAGGGCACTGAATGCTTGGAAGCGGTTTTCTCCCTTGCCAAGGCCAGTAAAGGAGTTGTGGATTACTCCGAGAGGAAAAAGTGAAGCGATGCTCAGGTAGGAACTTGTTCCGGCCGTCAGTTAGGAGCTGGCTTCACTCAAAGCTGCGAGGCAACACAGCGAGAAGGGAAGGGCCCTCACAATTTGAAAACAATAAAAATGGGCACAGCAATATTAAAACGCAGGGGTTACCTGAGAAGTTTGGGGGTTACTGACAAGAGAGCAGCGCCATCTACACTCCCACGTTCTAGTTTTCCGATGTCGAAGGAGGAAGACCTGGCTTCCAGACACTGTCCCACAGTAACTGAGCTCAGGCACCTTTTCTTTCCCGCGTTCTTGGGTTCCCTCAGTTTGTTTCCTTTGGCAGAAAGCAAAGGGACAGTCCCAGAAGGAGCTAGGGCAGCACCGCTACAAGAAGGAAGACAACATCATGCCAGCACTTTACTTTAGCTAACATCTGGGTGTGCGTCTAACTAGACGGTGGCTGAGACATCGCCTCTCACAGTTGTTCATCTCGTATGTTAAAAAAGGTCTGAGCTACGCTGAGACATCACAACGCACAATCAAACCAAAAAATCCCAACCCCCAGTGTGTGAAGGTCAGGTTAGAGCTAAGAGACAAGGCCACTGCGTTCCCATAAGCGGCCACAGCTACAAGCTTTGCAGACGAACGTTTCCGAGGCGCATGCTGCGGAACTTTTAGGACAACGGAGAATTTAAGTTAGGCAGCGCCGATGGATGCTTCGGCAGGTCTGAGATCAGACCAGCGAGACCTGAGGCGCTCGAGGGACTGTTTCACCTGAAAAGGCAGGGCAGTTTTGTTCTGCGTTACAGTAGAGAAAGGGGTCACTCACTCCCCGAGCTGGTAAGAGCGTGAGGGTAAAGAACAGATCTCATTAAATAAAGACAGTGCCTTTTTGTTTGAAGCCCTGCCCCTTCTCTGCGATGTCTGGGCTCCCGCTCCCACCACGGGCGCGCTATGCAAGAGGCCTGAAAAGCCAGAGGCAGATGGTTTGCTGGAACCGACACACAAAGCACCCACGACCCCTCATGCAAAAAGAGAAGCCTCTTCTGCAGAGGCAGCATTTCCTAACATCTGCCTGTGCCGAGATGGACACCGGCGACGGGCAGCTGCCTCTTTTGTCCCTGCCTCCTCCGGGCTCCCGAGATCTGTGTGTTGCTTTATGCAGAAGCATCCCTTACATTTTCAATTAACGCGCAGGTTTAACACATGCATGCTCCTAACAGCTGCAAGCTTTACAGCATAAAATCTTTACAGAAGCTTGAGTTTATAGATAAGGTTTCTCTCTACCCCTGTACAACATCCCTGTATTTTTTTTATTCCAGGTTCAGACACACACGCTAAAGAAAAAATTCCTAAACCACACTCAGGCTCCCTTCTTGCAGGGAGAACCTTAGGAATAAAACCACTTATGCCTTGGTCCTCTAGGAATACACCCTGTGCGTATCGAGATAGCAAACCGAAGAAAAGAGCATTTACCCCTGAGTTACAGGACCAACACGTGGAGTTTCCCCATCTTTTAAGGAAAGTCCTGAAATAACCGACGGAAAAGCTAGGAAAGATTTACTCTTTACAGGGAGCTGCAAAGGGGCAGAGCCGTCACCACGACGATGAGCTCATTGCTGGAGCAGAGCCCGAAACAAGAAAGTCAGGGGAGACAGAGGTGTTTCAAGAGTCTAACGCTACTCCTTCCACCGAATAACGCCCCTGGTTTCATCAAGCCCAAGTCAGGATGGTCTCAACAGATGGTAACGGGTAGCTAAAACCCAGCACAAGTACTAGTATGCAAGATTACTAGTTTGGCATTTAAGAAGGGTCAAGAGACTTCTCATGCCTTCCTTCTTGAAGGGGTAGAGTTTTCCCTTGCGTTCTGATTCCTCGAAGCAGTATCATTGAACAAGAGCACAGAACACAACACCCCCCCCACTGCTTTCAGCGGGGAGCTACCAAAGCAGAACACCAAAGGTCAGCATTGCCACCGCTGGGGCACTGGACAATTTGGACAGCAGAATTCAGCATTTCTGCCCCAAATCACTGCACGGTGGCAGATCTGGGAGCAGATCTCGGGTTCTTCGGTTCCAGAAGATAAGGAATTTAACGTTGCCGTTTTGGCAGACCTGTCCAGCCATCATTTGCACCATGCAAAGTGAGACGGGGCAGGCGTTAAACGCACCAACCCCTCAGGCCACATCCCAGGAGTCCACAGAGGGGACTGACAGCATCGTGTGGTTTTCCCCCCACTTGTACCACGCGCCAGCCGAGTGGTACGCGAGTCGTTTCTAAGATGCAGCCTGCGACCATCTAAGAAAAACATAAGGTGAGTTTCCAGGGGTTAAACTCCCTCCTGCGCAGGGCAGGAGCACAAGTCTCACGCATCAGTAACGTCCTTACAACAACCCCAGCCAAGCAACCCCCCCTTCCTCCCGAGGCACAATCAGACCCGATGCCGTGCGTGGAGCCTGCGCTCCTGGGCGTAGGCACGGCTGTCCCCAGAGCACAGCTTCTGTCAGTTACCGAAATAGACTACACAGGAACAAAAAATAAATACAAAGAAAACCTTCCCCTCCACCCCCCCAAGCCTACGTTTCCTTCTGGAGCAAGGCAGTTTTAATGTGCAATGCCCACGCACCTCAAAGAGAACTCACGGGAACTCATCTCGCCTGATTATTGGTGATGAGGCGACCGATGAGCCCCATTCATCAGAGCACTCCCCCATGTTACGTTCACGCTTCCCCCACATCCACGCCAGCTACTCCCCAACTCTTTGACGGCTTCTTCAACTAGAAAATGCATTGGCTAAAAAGAAAATAATTGGCTGCCTGCAGGCACACAGACCCTTCAGCTGCTACTCCGGCACGCCACGTGCTTGGTGACATTTTCTGGAGTCAGAGGCCCACATGCTCCACATTTTATGTTCGCTTGGATACTCCAAACCTTGCTGGACGCTGGTCTGAACAACATCTGAACTTCCGTTGCAATAACATACTTTTTTTTAAATCCATTTTTAAATAAGGTGGGTTTGGAAAGTCCCTGGAAGCAATGTCCTGCGAGCTTTCAGGCCGAAGAACGC